CCCAACCAACCAACCAACGAACAAACGGAAATCGGAGCGACGTAGAAGATTACGTGTTCACCTGCTGGTGGTTGCAGCTCCCGCATGTTCCCTCGTTGGAGGCTTGAGCACGGATATGGCTGCTACGGGGTTCCCCGTAATACTATAATGAGTATTAATGACAATAAAAAAGGCCTGAAAGGCCGTCCTGTCCAAATTTGACAGGTAATTGAATTGGTTGGGCTTCAACGAATTAGCCTTACAAAAAAAAAAAAAAAAAAAAAAAAAAAATCTCGAGAATTATTGCGAACTTTTAGAGGCCTCCATCAACAGGGATAAATCAGTCTATTTTTTACCCCAGCTGTTTACATTGGATGTAGACTGGGGACTTGGACGCATTCCTTCAAAGACATAGGACATATTTTTGGGGGTACAGGTTTCACTCTCAGGTTGATCTACTACCCAAGCCAGGATTAAACCACCAGTACTTCGCCCAGCTATCCGCCGCGGAAAAAAATGAAGTAGAAACGTTTCTAGTTGGATGAATTTGGGCGCTCCTGTAGTGGCCCGTACGTTTCCTAAAATCGCGTAGCGTCAACGCTACGCGACTTTAGGAAGTACTGGTGGTTTAACGGATGTGTGCGCACTGCGTAGCCATCAACTTTCTTTATTTGGCAGGGCTTTGGATTAACGGATGGTTCATTTTTATTAATAGTTGAAAAGAGGCACACCAAAAAATAAATCAGGCGTGTTGCGGCAAGGTACCTGTGGAAGCCGCTGCCGCTGCCGCTGGCTACAGAACAACAAAGTTCCATTGTGAAGGCAGCATGGGAAGGTCAAGGATCTACCATCTTCCGCCGAATACAACGCACCCTCATTTTTTTTGGCTGTACCGGACCGGAAATATAGCTTGTATACATTCATTTTCAGGGTGCGTTATGTTCGGGGGAAGACGGTAGTATCAAATACTCTGGGCATGGAACAGGGTGCGACCTCAATTAAACCACTGCAGTACTTCCTAGAGTTGTGCCGTTAACGCGCCACGTTTTAGGAAACGTACGGGCTACTACAGGAGTGCCCAAATTCATCCAAGTAGAAACGTTTCTACTCTTTTTTTTTTTCCCTTTTTTTTTTCCGCGGCCGATAGCTGCTTCAAGAACTGGTGGGTTAGGGTCTCGCTCCACTACTGTCCACTGTACAAAAATGGACAGTGGTACTTCGCTCCACTTACTGTCCACTGTACATGTGCAAAATGGCTTGGACAGTTTGTAGAAACCCCGTCGGAAATCTACTGTCCGTGAATGTACAGCTCACAGCCTGCAAAATTCGCTACGCGGAAGGTCCTTCAAGGGACTCACGCTGAGGACCCGAATTTGGACAGTGCACCTGGAGTTTGGGCGGACAAAATCCTACGGACGTCCTGTCTTGTAGTGCTATCACTGTGTCTGGTAGTGAAGCCACGAATTTGAGAGGTGGACAGCGGACAGTAATAAGTGGAGCGATGTCGCATTTTTCACTGTCCGCTGTACAATTTTTTGCTCTGACAACTGTCCAAGAAATGTTCGAAAAATTGTACAGTGGACAGTAGTGGAGCGAGACCCTTAATAGCGGAGCCAAGGTCCAAAGGAGAAATATGAAATCAGATTTCGTTTCATAACCGATTCCCACTGGAAAACACTGCACACGTTTATCTGAAGCCTGACGGCAGTTCAGGCTCATTTGGAAGGGCCTGGATAGAACACGGGGTGATCCAAGTGACGGCCGGCCATGTGGAATGAGGAGGGCAGCGGAGTGGCGCAGTGAGGCGGAGATACGAGAAGAGCTCCCCAGGCTCAGACAGGCTGCCCGCATTCAATTCCCTTTATGAAAAAAAAAAAAGGGAGCTTGTTCCAGCTGCTGTCCGAACAAAACAGTTACTGCAAAAAAAAAAAAAAAAAAAAAAAAAAAAAAAAAAAAAAAAAAAAAAAAAAAAAAAAAAAAAAAAAAAAAAAAAAAAGGAAATCGGAACGGGAGGCGCTCCGCCACTCTCTACCTGCACAAAAAAAGGACAGAAAACATGGCAAGGTATCTTTCCGCGTTATAGCGCAGGATTCAGTCTCATTTGCACATTTGGAGAGTTGTGGAGGGAGGTCCTTTTCCAGGCCCTATAAAGTAGCTCCGGGTTAGCATGGACCCTGCAAATGTG